GATGAACTTATTACCTATCTGATCCAGCCAGGTCTCTCTGAGCTCTAGCAACCGCTACGGAACGAAATTCTTCAGGTACAACTTCCAAAGCTGCGAAGCATTGAACGGATGACTTCCTCGAAGATCGTTTACCATAGTTGTCGACTCGAACATTTATCTTTTCGTGGGTTGCCTGTTGTCTCTGCGACACTTTCACTGAGTCGTGAAGTCGACAATGAGGCGCTACGTTCCTTCTATCATTTCTTCATGGGGTTCGATTTTTCGCGACTTCTGTCTGAGTATTACTGCTCTCTGCAGTATGTCCACCTTCTATCCCTTTTCTACCTCTAGGGAGTCCCTCCGTACTATCTTGCTGTCAAGCGGGGTATCATAGCGTTCGCAATCTGACACCCATGAGTGTCAGTACATATAACCACAAAGGTGGCCTTCGCATCCCCAACCTACACAAAAACACATCTTTAAATGCTTTCAGCGTCATCCCACTAGCGCCTCCCGCAGATGACTACATTGACAGTCTATCACTGAAGCCCCTGACGTCATACACAAAGAAACAGCTCGGCATTGAAGATTTCGCAGAAGAAAAGACAATCGCTTCCATTAGTGAAGGCCCCATGATGTGAAAAACGGGATATATAAAAATTCAAGGTTCAACTCTGGGACTAGACAATTGTATGTACTTGTATCAACTTGTAGTGTGAATGAATCCGCGTTTGACTATATGCCGAGACGACAGCATCAAATTTAGGAGAGTCAGGAACGGACGCCCCCGCGCCCCTACAATTTATTACCAATCAACAAAGTCAAACAAGTTGTGGTCCATCTAAAGGTGTACGGTTCTGCGGCCTGCCAGAAACTAAATTAAATTAATTATATAAATCGACGGAGGAACGAAACACATGGACAGACCTCCCAGTGTTTTTGCGGCCTGTGGCGCTGACATACTGACAGGACTACTTATTATTGACATCTACTCGACGGAAGAGAGCTTTAAAATGCTGTGATGACTGACTATTTCAGTGATGGTGCTAGTTCATACCCTACAATGCTAATAACCAGAGCGTGAACACTACAACTGATATTTGCACTGCGTACATCATGTAAGTAGTACCATATACTAAAAGTACACCCCAACACAAAAACAAAAACAAAGACCTTAGGATCATGAACAACAGGTGTAAGATGGTATACACGGAAAACATTGATGTCATACCAAAATTTCTGGTCGCTGGGCTGCGTGGTATCGATGGCACAGGAGAGGAGGATTTGCGTGGTGTAAGAAAAAAAGGCCACGGGCGCATGAACCCAGCGCACAGAGTGCAGTAGAGGTGCAACAGCAACTGCGAGAAATCACACGAAAAATCTGTGGTCAAAGGGATGAAAATGCGTTAGATCATGTACGAAAGTGTCAACGGAAGGTCGAAACTCACTGTGTTCACGCGCGCTGATGCGCGCATGGCAAACAAATGTCCGAAGTACCACAGATGTACCGCAGTGCACATGAAGACAATGGGGATTGTATTATTGCATTACTTGAGCGCGAGAATAGAAAACAACTGTCAGAATGTACCATTGGCACTGAAATATATCAAGATACACTCACATGAGAAACCCGACAGGAGTTGAACAGCGCGAAATATTAAATCGAATGGTGGAAGACCACGGGGCTGAATATCCGGACCGCCCGAGCTGGTGGGTTAGGTTTCAAACTCTGTCAGGACCTAATTACCTTACACCTATGGTTGAACCGCCCTCTCGTTCATGTCGAGTATATAAGTAGTAAGACAACCTTCAACGGGAAATATTGTGGGCTACAGTAAATTCAGACAGGTCATGTGATATCACGTGACCTATTGGGGACAACTTCTGATTTTTTCTGCCATGGCCCATGCGCTACGAGGATTTTGATCAAACCGTTCTTCATACCCTGTAGATGATGCCGCCCAACGGAATAATCCCCAATGGAACTGCTGAGGCTCCGATTGACGTCTCTGCAGTGCCCTCCATTGTTGGCATCAACTTTGGAAACTCATATGCATCTATCGCAGTCTTAACAAAGGTGCGTCAGTTCCTGCTGCATCTCATAAGATCCCGTATAAATCTTTTTGAGAACAGGAGGGCCTTGCTGAGTGCATAGCTAACGAGGATGGGGAGCGTCAGATCGCTTGTGCTATCGCGTTTCACGGCGAGGAGATGGTATGTGGTGACCTATTTCACCCTCATTATGATGCTTATCAAGTTTTATCTTCTCAGTATATCGGGAACCAAGCGAAGCATCAACTAGTTAAAAACTCTCAAAATACTATCACCGGATTCCGTAACCTTCTGGGCAAAAAGTGCGTAATTTGTGATATGCATCATCGTATCCAACCTGAGACCATATGTTAGATTCTCTGAGGTACCACAAGCAGCTTTGTCTGTCTCTGCGCCAGTCATACAACATCCTTCGCTACCTGACACGGCAGCTTACAAGGTTAAGGTTCTGCAACCTGCACCTTCACCTCTTCCAGCTACTGCTGCCAATACACCTGCAGCGTCACAAGTTGCAACCCCCCGCTCAGAACCCATCGAAGCTGAGCGCATCCTCACTGTTTCCGAAGTGACCACGATTTTCCTCGGCTCGCTCGTGCAGTCCGCTGAGGACTTCCTTGGAAAGAAAGTACTAGGCGCAGTGATCAGCGTGCCTTCATGGTTCGACGACGCTCAGAGAGAGGCAGTGATACAATCTGCAGAAGATGCTGGAGTTCACGTTCTCCAGTTACTGGATGACGCAGGTGCTGTTACCGTCTGTGATGCTGCGGGATCAGACGAGATTCCCTCTGACCGCACGCAGCTCATCGTCGATCTTGGCGCATCATCCCTCGAACTATCTCTCCTTTCGATTCGCGAGGGCCTTACATACTCCCTCGCATCTCTCTCCGACTCGTCGGTTGGTGGAGATGAGATCGATTCCAAATTAATCAAATTCTTCGCAAAGGAATTCACCAAAAAGACCAGAACACCACTGACTGTCGCGCCCGCTTCCGATCCCATTGACAAGCGCGCTGAAGCCAAACTCAGACTTGCAGTTGAGCACACAAAGCGCACGCTCAGTGCAAGTCCTGGCGCGGCCACGTGTTCTGTAGAATCCCTCAAAGATGGACTCGACTACACTGGCTCTATCAACCGCCTTCGATTTGACATGGAGGTGCGGCAGATCTACAACAAGGTCTACGCAAAGGTGAAGGAGCTTGTCGCGAGTGCAGGGATAGATCTGTATGACGTTGACGAGATCGTGTACATCGGAGGAAGCGCCTGCTTGCCAGGTCTGGATGAGACCTTGGTTGAAGGTTTCACCGAAAACATCATTACGCCTTTCAAGGCAGGTACGGTCGTTGGCGGAGGCTCCGGTGACCCAACCACTATCCTGGCCCGCGGATGTGCCCTCCAAGCGCAACTACTCGTCAGCCTTGCCTCAGAGACCGAGGAGGTTCGTCAGGCATTCATCAAGGGTAACGGGACTAGCAGCGTCAGCGCTACGGGCCGGACTATAGGCCTCCTTGTTCCTCAGGTCTCTGCAGCGGACGGTGGCCTGGGTGGAGTGTGGGTTCCCCTCATCTTGAAGGAGACACCCTTGCCATGCAGACGTACTATCACTGCAGAGGTGGATGTCAGTGAGTCTGGAGACAAAGTTGGGTTCGAGTTCTGGGAGGTGAACGAGGGAGTGAGGATCGATCACGTCAAGCCCCAAACATTCGAAGACGAGGAAGATGAGGAGGAGGAAGAGTTAGAGGAGGTAAAGGAGAAGACCATTTCAAAAGAGGCATTCTTGGCTTCATTGTCGCTTTCGCCTTCCAACATAATCAAAGGAAAAGCGAAGGTTCAGGTGCAGGCAATCATTGGCAGCAATGGTGCTGTAGATCTCAGCATAAGGGAGGTGATGAAGGATGGATTGGGAGAGGCTGTTACGGTGATAGTTGGATCTTCATAATGGCAACATATGGTACGTCTTGTGTGATTGTTGCGCTGAGGCACATAGATGTATTTTACCAGGTAGATGTAGACATACTTCTCTACTGGATCTCACCGATATCCTCGTTCCATTCCTGCATATAGATCATCGGTCATCACATGCTATGCAGTGTAATAGAATGTTTTGAAACACACCTCCGGTTTCTCTACGATGAATTTCTTCATGAGCGTCTTACATTCTGCATTATCAACCACAATAACCTCAACGCCTTGGCTTTTTAAAAGCTCTTCTCCGCCCACCCAGCTCTCATTCTCGCCAATGACGACACGTGGAATCTTGTAAAGTAAAATCGCGCCTGTGCACATCAGACAGGGACTATATTCATGTGGTGAGTTAGCAATTGGCAAAGCACCACGATCATCCCCACCTTAAGGTCGTGTACTTCGTTCACGTAAACAACTATCAGATATCGAACCAATTTGTATCGCGAGCCTTACCATCGTGGATCCTCTATACACTTGTGCTTTCAGTCTCCCTGCATCCTCTAGTGCGGCAATCTCTCCGTGCAACGTGGCGGACGACTTTTGAATGCGTGAGTTATGTGCGCATCCCAGTACAACCGCATCCTTGGGATCCGTTGAAGATCCGTGATACACAAGGGCAGCACCAATCGGGATCCCTCCTTCTTGGTAACTCTTGCGTGCCTTTGCTATGGCTGTGGAGAGTCCGAGCTTATCTATGTCGTCCATGGAGTGGTCCCGAAGCAAGCTGTTACATGTCCCACGTCCTGACAGCCTGAGGATGACTTATCGATGATGCTCACGGGACCTCGTGCACATGTCAGGGGTGTTAGTTTGTTCCGCCTTTTCAGCGTTAATCTGCATATTGAGAGCTCGGAGTCCATGTAAATCGTCTTGATCAGAAGGTGCTTCAGTCCAGTCCTTTCCTAATTATAGGCTACCGAGAGGTAAAATCAAAGCTGCTTCCTACTTGCGGCCTTGAGGCCACAAGGTAGAAAATCAATATAGGGCTTTACAATCACATATTGTATGCCCTGATGGCTCAGTTGGTTAGAGCGCAGGTCTCATATGTAATGTATGACTGAGGTAAATCTCGGGCAATCCTGAGGTCGCAAGTTCGAACCTTGCTCAGGGCAGTTTTTTGACTCAAGTATTTTCCAATCTGTTTTCGTTTCGCAATTCTTTTGCATAGTTCTATTTTTCACGGGTTATGTCCCACCAGCAGCGCCTTTAGATATGATCATTTTGACTTCATGTTCACAGCGTTGATTCATTGACCCTATCAGTTTGGGTTAACGAATGGCTATTTCCCTTCTATAGGTCTGGCTAGGGGAGACTAAGTCGAGGAATCGGAAGTGTGCTCCGGACCATCCACTTTATCCCGCATACTATGGATGGTCCTCTCGGCCTCTCGGCACATGTTGCCCTTACAAGATTGGGCGGCAATAGTGGGCAGCCTGAACGTGATATCGCTGCTCCCTTTCAGAGATGTGGCGGTCTTATTTTCTGCACTCACAAGCTCGTATCTGGGTATCCTCGTTGCAGACTGTCACGGTAAACAAGCGTCTAACGTCAGTGGTGATTCTGACACATTAATGGAGGTAATACATTGTATTGCTGCCTCGTACCTTCCAGACTCTACCGAGTTCGTAGAGCGCTATAAGGAGCATGAGGAACGTCTTTTATCTAGGATCGAGGGGTGGCGGAGGGGCACAGGAGCTGGAGTTAGTGAAGATTGACTCGTTCTAGCGTTGCATTCCGAAATGCGATTGGACCTTTTCTCTTTATTTTTCTTATACACCACGTCGGTTAAAATCACCTGTCTTTCGCTGCTTCAAGCCTCTTGAATGAAGGCTGCGAATCTGTTGTATAGCTATAACGTAACGTCTAACGTCCGGATCACAGAGGATCACCCAGATGTCGTCGTAGGCGATGGAAGACGACTTATAGGTCGAGGACTGCCAACGGGTTCCATCTTAGACTCAACGACCGTCCCGAATAGTTAGATGAAGACGTGCCCTATGCAACCGAGGCACCATGGTAGATGATCTTGGGGTTGAGCGACGCCCTGGTCTAAAGTCAGTTCAATGACTTATGTTATTGGACTTCGGAGTTCTGTATAATACTAAACTGCTCTCCAAGCCCCATGTGCACTGCTGGTAGATGCACTTTAGGACGAAGGTGTTATTGAAATTGGAGGTGGGTGGGTAGACGGTGTCTTGGTGTAGACAACCCGGAAAAAACCTGTTTCCAAGCTGGGTGAGAGACAATTGAGATATCTGCGTCATGCCCGTGCTTGGAGGATAAACACTTTGGGACGATACACATATTTCTTGAGGACATCAGGCAGCATAGATATTGCTCAGTGAGCAAAAACTTCAAGCTGTTGTCTAGGATCGGTGGGTACGCATCCATTAACTGCAGAAGAGGTGAAAGATTACATTCAAGCTTATGGCTAAGAGATAAACTGACCGCCGTACCTTCTAGTTGTGTTCTACAACGAATCACTTAGATGTTGGATGGGATGTGCCACAGTAAAAATTTGGCGAGTGCCGGGCCTGAGTATGTGCGTCCTTCATGCCTGAGAGATGCGACTTTGCGGGAAGACTGGTCCATCTCCATGATGGGCTCGAGCTCGAGGGATGAGAGCACGATAACATGCGAATTTGAGATGTCATTGTAAACGATTGGAGACGATAAGTTGTGGGTCGGAGACTGCTGATCGCTGGCGGTTCTAACTTCTATCTTGGACTTGGATGTAATGCTCTGCGAGTTGTGGTACTGCGGAATGGGTGAAAGAGAAAACGGCGCTGGAAGTAGTGTGTCAAACGATTTGGTTGCAGAAGAAACGCCCAACGCAATCCGATTCACCAGGGCAACTGGAAGGCCCTCCTTGTATATGTTATTGGACTGACTTTGGATTTCTGCCTTCCAAGCCTCAAGTGCATTGCGTCTTTATCGGAATAAAGTAAGGAGGAGCTTGGTCGAAGGATAGCATTGATCATACATAAAGAAGGAACGACTTGTCTTTTTTCTATTTGGTCTGACCTACGGGAGACTAAGCTCTGATAGCCTATTTATAATCTCATGGACTTGATGCCAGGTCTCCCAGGCGTGTGCTAGCTCAAGCCCTTTACTGACTAAGTATGATGAGCACCGAAGACCTCGACGTGCTCCGCGAAATTGACGCCTGCTTGTTCGACGTATTCGGCACCGTCCTCAACTGGCATAGCACACTTACTCGAGAAATACCCCGCCGCAGCAAGGGGCTGCTCCTCGAAGGTGGCAATACCACACATGTCCTACTAAAATTCCAATCTGACAATATCCACATTCAGGCTCCCAGGACGCGATCGATTTCACAGAAGAATGGAGAGCCGGGTATTTCGCTCATGTGTAAGTCCATCACCGGTCGATCTTGGCTTTGTGTCATGACCCGCGCATTCACAGCATAAGAGTAGTCCAGGGCGGGGAGGGCACTCTCCACACGGACACCATGCATCGAGAGGTACCTTGCACTCTTGCATGCGTATGACTTGCTTCTCACCACAGGAAGATACTGGACAATATGCTCATCGCACCGCGCTGGTCTCATCTTGCAGACGTCTGGGGAGAGTCAGATCGTGAAGAGCTCACCATGATCTGGCACGACTTGGACGGTACAAACTCCCCCGAATGCTACTCGCAGTCCTGCCTAACCGATCCCTTCATAGTGTACGAGGACACAGTCCCGGGCCTGACAGAACTCAAAAGCCACGTTTACATCCTCACTCTATCTAACGGAAATTTCAAATTACTTCTCGACCAGGTAATTGTGTCACTTGCGGCATCGTGCATCGGACTGTTGTGCTTGATCAGTATTACAGGCAAAGAAGAAAGGTCTTCCCTGGGATGGTATCTTCTCGACCGAAATGTTCGGAACGTACAAGCCGTACGTCCCGATAAAATATTCCACCCTCTCATGTTCTAACGTCCGAGAAGCAACAAGCACACGTATCAATCCGCAGCATACCACCTTTCCTTACCTCCTCATAAGATAGCTATGGTTGCCGCACACCACACCGATCTCCGTGCTGCTGCTAGTGTCGGTTTCAAGACAGTATACGTTCCACGACCCACTGAAGATCTGCCCGAGGTAAGAAAGAATATGCGGAGCAAGAAGGATGGTGGTGAGGTCGACCTCGTCGTTAAAGATTTCCAAGAGTTGGCGAGGCTCATAGGTGAAGCTCGACAAAGTCGATGAATGACTGTGGGGCTCGTGACTTGTACAATAATTTCTGGGGAAATGTCACGCTCTGTGGAATCCAGGACGGCATTGTGAAGTGACAAAAGTAAGGCGACCAAGTATGTCTCACCGTCCACTGGTGAAACCATTTCATTATGGAGAAACACAAGGGGCTGACAAGATTAGTCGGTCGGTCAGCACTTCATAAATATTCTCTAATAGTCTGTATGGATTCGGACCACCAGAGGATGTCTGTGAAGTGTTGAAATCTGGTGAACGTTAACACGAACAGGAAGGTCATTCGCATTATTTCCAGGTCAGGTTCATTGCGAGATCTACTTACTGGTTTTGTTGGATATGTCATACGAGTCAGTGGGCGCACTGCTGGTGTCTCAATGCTTCTAGTTTGTGATCATTACAACTCGAGACTTTCAACCCAATGAGAGGCAGCATGCGGTTTGTCTCACACCTCCGACAGAGACAAATTAAATCAGTTGTTCACAAGAACCAGCGAACCTGCAAATCGTGATGTAATTTTATGAAGTAAAAATATACACGCGCCCTAAGTAGTACATCCAAAGAGAAAGATAAAGCTGAAGACATTCACTGGTTACGTTCCATGATGTTAGTGGAAAACCTTTGTATACAAGCCCTGATTATGTAGGGACAGGAGAAAGTGAGTTGTGAGCAACGACAGAAAAAGACAGTCTTGATGTCGGAAAAAAATGAGAGTTGCACAATAAGGCGCGTTTACAGCGTAACGGCAGAACAGAAGGAATTTGTTATTAATTCACGTCAACAAATGCAGCGACAGAAGATTTTGGGAAGGTGAAATGTGACAAAGTGTGAGATGGAAAGTTCGCCTACTGCTGCTTGCACTCTTCGGGATTGACAGCAGCAGCGCTAAGGCCGCCACGGCCCTTTGGAGGACCGCGACGTCTTGGCAACTCAGCCTCTGAATTAGAGTCCTTGATAAGGATGAGCCACAGTGGTGCCGTCCCAGTGGGTGGGACGATCATACCTCGTCATCGAACTGGCCGTCTTCGTCATCCTCATCCAACTCGTCAAAGTCATCTTCATCTTCATCATCCATACCTTCGTACTCCAGGGCTTTGCCGGTGAAATAGTCGATGGCACGAGGGATAATCTGTATTCATTATTAGTCAGCAATTATCCGATGAGCGCGGGGATGACCCACCTTCTCCTTGAGGTCCTCGCCGATTTGATAGTCCATCTCCAGCTTCTCCTCGAGTTCCTCAAGTTCATCCTCGTCGATCTCCACATCCGTGTCTTCAGCCGGAGGCGAAGGTGGGGAGAAGAAGTTGAAAAATGATTCGGTCGGGCGTGCTTTACGAACCAGTCGCGTGCGGTTCGTATCTAGAGACAATCATGAGAAACTCCTCGATCAGAACGTAGATCGCATACTCTTGTTTCTTTGTTTTTTGATCTCGAACTCCTTCGTCAAGTCCTTCTCCTCCTTCCACTTTATGTCCGTGCCGATCGCACGATCGTACACAAAGTCACCGGAATAACCAACCTCCTCCTGATAGAGGTAAGTCTTCTCAAGAATTTCATTCTCGAAGAAGTCGTTTGGGCTGAAGATAAAGGTGATCTTGAATCCGGGTTTTGGCGAGTCGCTAGGTAGGTACGATAGCCGAATGTCAGTGAGGCTCTTGAGTGCACCAGCATCACGTTCTGTGATGATCTCTGAGAGTCCGATGTGATTACGCAATGCTGTAAGCCAAAATTCAGGGATAGCCGCTGGTGTGCCCTCAGCATCTTTAGGAAGTGGCGTGTAGTCTGGATCATCCTTGAGTGATGCCTGAGTTCCTGCTTCGATCTCCTCCTCAGTGGCTTGACCAGCACCCGAGATGATCGCATTTCTCCGCTCGTACAGAGGCTTTTGAAGCT